AGAAAATTAAACAATAGATTTGAACCAAGGTGAGGTAAGAAAATTAAACAATAGATTTGAACCAAAGTGAGGTAAGAAAATTAAACAATAGATATGAACCAAGGTGAGGTAAGAAAATTAAACAATAGCTTTGAACCAAAATGAAAATTAAACAATAGATTTGAACCAAAGTGAGGTAAGAAAATTAAACAATAGATTTGAACCAAAGTGAAAATTAAACAATAGATTTGAACCAAGGTGAGGTAAGAAAACTAAACAATAGATTTGAACCAAAGTGAGGTAAGAAAATTAAACAATAGATATAAACCAAGGTGAGGTAAGAAAATTAAACAATAGCTTTGAACCAAAATGAAAATTAAACAATAGATTTGAACCAAAGTGAAAATTAAACAATAGATTTGAACCAATATGAGGTAAGAAAATTAAACAATAGATTTGAACCAAAGTGAGGTAAGAAAATTAAACAATAGATATGAACCAAGGTGAAAATTAAACAATAGATTTGAACCAAGGTGAAAATTAAACAATAGATTTGAACCAAGGTGAGGTACGAAAATTAAACAATGAAATTGAACCAAAGTGAAAATTAAACAATAGATTTGAACCAAGGTGAGGTACGAAAATTAAACAATGAAATTGAACCAAAGTGAAGGTAAGTGAACCAAGGTGAGGTAATAAAATTAAACAATAGAATTGAACCAAAGTTCATTAAACAGTTGACTTACCTCTCACAACAGTTCATTAAACAGTTGACTTACCTCTCACAACAGTTCATTAAACAGTTGATTTACCCATTAGTTGAAACTACTACCTTCATTTAAAACTTTATGGTTTTAAGGAATGTTTGGTTGCTCATAATTTTCTCAATTCTTTGAATTTTTTCTCAATATAAGATATTCTGTTGGGGATATTTTCATGACACATGTGTTGCTGTTTTTTTTAATTTTTGTTATTCTTAAATGTTTAAAGTATAAAAACCAAAAACGATTTTTTTAAAACAGGTTTTCTGAACATTCTCTAGCCAAAACAATATTTCTTTGCTTGATAAGGAAAATCGAAAAATATTTTTATTAATTGATTGTTTATTGAGCACAAATTTATTGGTAAAGCGCTAGCATGTGCTAACCTATTGCAATAGAATATTCATTAAAAAATATATATTTCATGACGTACAGATAGAACTCCTTAAAGAAGCTGGCCAGTCAGAGCTGAAAGAATATCAAGAAAATGGAGATTTCGAGTTGAGTGACTTTTCAGCTACATCGACGGTTTTCCAGTATTCCTGTTGTGAAGAGTTCTACCCCGAGATCAGCTACAGACTGCGGCTGCGCCGTCGACCGCTGTACTACGTGTTTAACCTGATTCTGCCCTGTCTCCTAATAAACTCTATGGCCCTTCTTACTTTCTGCATGCCTTGCGAGTCTGGAGAGAAAGTTACCTTTAGCATGTGTACATTCCTAACCCTTATTCTATTCTTTGTGTTCGTAAGAGACATCTTACCACCGTCTCACAAAACCCCTCTAATTAGTAAGTACGGAAATAAAACTATTCTCCCTTTAGCTGTTTTAACTCACAGACCTTCTCTAATTAATACGTGAGGAAATAAAACTATTATAATAGTTTTATTTCCTCACGTATTAATCAGAGAAGGTCTGTGAGTTAAAATAGCTAAAGGGAGAATAGTTTTATTTCCTCACGTATTAATTAGAGAAGGTCTGTGAGTTAAAACAGCTAAAGGGAGAATACTTTTATTTCCTCACGTATTAATTAGAGAAGGTCTGTGAGTTAAAACAGCTAAAGGGATCCCTTTAGCTGTTTTAACTCACAAACTTTCCCTAATTAGTACGTTCGGAAATAAAACTATTCTCCCTTTAGCTGTTTTAACTCACAAACCTTCTCTAATTAATACGTTAGGAAATAAAACTATTCTCCCTTTAGCTGTTTTAACTCACAAACTTTCTCTAATTAATATGTTAGGAAATAAAACTATTATCCCTTTAGCTGTTTTAACTCACAAACTTTCCCTAATTAGTACGTTCGGAAATAAAACTATTATCCCTTTAGCTGTTTTAACTCACAAACTTATTTTCATCATGAATACTTTGTCTAAACAATCTATCAAAGAACAATTGAACGTTTCATTTCTGTTACTGTATGCTCATAGTTAACACGAAACGTTTATTTCAGGTTTGTACTACGTCGTCACTATCTGCCTGGTTGCTTCTGCTACTGTTTTTACCGTCTTTTCATTGAACATCCATCACCAAGGTCGTTTTGAGAAAGAAGTTCCACAATGTCTTCGAAACGTGATTTTGGGATGTCTTGCTAAGTTCATGTTTTGCAAGTGTTCTTCTAATGGCGAACATGATTCAGAAGTAAGCTGTTCGTATACATCTCTAGAGAAATACATTTTATTCGCTTTACATACATAAAATTTAGTATCGGCTAAGTGAATTTGTGTTCTATGAAAGTTTACATTAGAGCTAGTTCAGTTACTGTCCCGGATATTCTATGTATACTTAGATCACATGTTCTATGAACGTTTACATTAGAGCTAGTTCAGTTACTGTCCCGGATATTCTATGCATACTTAGATCACACATTCTATGAACGTTTACAGTAGAGCTGGTTCGGTTACTGTCCCGGATATTCTATGTATACTTAGATCACACATTCTATGAACGTTTACAGTAGGGCTGGTTCGGTTACTGTCCCGGATATTCTATGTATACTTAGATCACACATTCTATGAACGTTTACAGTAGAGCTGGTTCGGTTATTGTCCCGGATATTCTATGTATACTTAGATCACGCATTCTATGAACGTTTACAGTAGAGCTGGTTCGGTTACTGTCCCGGATATTCTATGTATACTTAGGTCACACATTCTATGAATGTTTACATTAGAGCTAGTTCAGTTACTGTCCCGGATATTCTATGTATACTTAGATCACACATTCTATGAACGTTTACAGTAGAGCTGGTTCAGTTACTGTCCCGGATATTCTATGTATACTTAGATCACACATTCTATGAAAGTTTACATTAGAGCTAGTACAGTTACTGTCCCGGATATTCTATGCATACTTAGATCACACATTCTATGAAAGTTTACAGTAGAGCTGGTTCGGTTACTGTCCCGGATATTCTATATATACTTAGATCACACATTCTAGACCCGTTTCAGTGATGTAAAGTCTGCATTAAATTACACTAACATCTTTCCTCATTTTCCAAACCTAACAAATTAAAAGAGCGATTGAGCTGAAAGATTAGAACCTAATGTTTATTTACTTCTCTTAGAATCAAAGTGATGAGAAAAAATCGAACCTCGAGCGCCAGTCATCAAACGAAGACAACAAGCTCGAATTTGGACACATTGAGCAGTACAACTTTTCGCCTCGACTTCGACAACGCAAGGAAATGACTGGAAGCTGCGAATTTTTCGCAGATGAACACAAAAAACAATATCTGAAGATTTTAGGGAAAATCTATGAAAGTATCGAAAGGAATGAGATGCGAATTTCTGAACAGACGAGAAGAGAAACCAACAAGAGTGAGTGGCACCAGGTGTCACTAGTGTGTGATAGGTTGTGGCTCGCGCTCTTCCTCATAGCATCAGCTGTGGGAACTTTACTGGTATTACTTTCTTCTCCGCACGTCCCTTAAAAACTCACTTTTTCTAAAAACGTGCACTCTTTGTATATATTGATGTTTACTTACACTTCTTTACAAATATTCTTACATAAAATGTCCGTTGTTGTTGTTGTTTTTTAAAGATCATCTCCTTTACTTCTTAGTAACAACTGTCCAATGTGGCAAAAAAAATCAAGTGTATGTTTCACACTCTGTTTTATACAACAGTGTTAGAAAAATTCCCCAAAATCTTGATTTGATTTTTCAATATAATGTTAGTTTTCACGTGTATGTTTCACACTATGTTTTACACAACAGTGTTAGGAAAATTCCCCCAAAATCAAATCAAATCAATATGAATGTTAATTTTCAAGTGTATGTTTCACACTCTGTTTTACACAACAGTCTTAGGAAAATTCCCCCAAAATCAAATCAATATAATGTTAGTTTTCCACTGTATGTTTCACACTCTGTTTTACACAACAGTCTTAACAAAATTCCCCCAAATCAAATCAAATCAATATTAGTTTTTAAATGTGTGTTTCTCAATCTGTTTTACACAACATTCTTTGGTCGGGTGTTGCCTAGATGTTAACGTGCAGGACTGTGAATCTGAGAGTCCATGGCTCGTGTCCTGCACTTTGGGGCCGTGGGGAACTTTTAGACTGAGTTGAAATCCTACTGTTCAAATGCAGAATTCTCAAACCAAATATCACAATCCTGATGGAGAAAGAATAGCAGTCGTTTGTTCTTAAATAAAATTAAATATTATGAAATGATGAAAGACATTAAAGTATAAATAATGTAAAATAGATTGTGTTCAATATTTAAAAAATGTGCGTCCATTAAAGCCTCATTTATTAAACGATAATATCAGTGTTACCAAGACTAATCCTACCAAAACTTTAAGGTTCCATTAAACGTGTCAATTTATATTCATTCCACTAACTTCTTTTGGTATGAGTTTATCATCTTTCATTATTGAAAATATTGTTATAAATATTACATTTCGTTGTTCTGTGGGTTAATGCCAAATAATTCTTTCATTATTGAAAATATTGTTATAAATATTACATTTCGTTGTTCTGTGGGTTAATGCCAAATAATTCTTTCATTATTGAAATATTGTTCTAAATATTACATTTCGTTGTTCTGTGGGTTAATGCCAAATAATTCTTGAATTTTGTAGACTGTTTACAAATAAAGACATAAACAATGTAATGATACTAGAACGATTAAAATTATTCTCTTTACAAATATAAACATAAACAACTGAATGCTACAAGAAAGATAAGAACTGTTTCTGTATGTATAAAGAAAATCAAATGCTACATTATGGTAGTAATTTAATTCGTTTAAAATTAAACACAAAAGTATATACAACTGAATGTTACAAAAGGGATGATAGCTGATTTGCTTAAAAAAAGACAAAAACATAAAAAACGTAATGCTACAGAAAGGCTTAAAACATTATTAATAAATAAAGACAAAGATACAAACAACGTAATGCTACAGAAAGGCTTAAAAACTTTATTAATAAATAAAGACAAAGATATAAACAACATAATGCTACAGAAAGGTTTAAAAATTTAATTATTAAATAAAG